CAAAAAAAAAAAAAAAAAAAAAAAAAAAAAAATCCTAACTTCATTCACTCTTTTCCATTGACATCAGGATAAACTCCAAATTATACAGACTGGAATTCCAAGCTTTCAACTTAGCCTGTTTCCTTCCAGGCTTATCTCTCGCACCAGATAGAAACCCTCAACTCCAACTAACTGATCCGCCTCTTGTCTCACAACCACACCAATGCAAAGCGAAGGCCAGACCTGTCCAACTCGAACTCCACTAGCCCTGTAACACTTGCCTGTTTCCTCACCTACATGAGAAACAAGTATTATACTAGGACTATAGTCAGAGGAAGACACAGAAAGAGCCAGGCACAAAGTACTCAGCTTCGTGCTTCATATCCTACACAAAGTCCTCCTAGATTACTCCAAACGACAATGTTTTTTATGCCACTTAGTTTGTAGTTAACCATAGGATATCCTTCACCTTGTTATCCTGCATTAATTTTTTGGTAACTTCACTATAACAAGTGCGATATTTTCTAACAAAGCACTGTTTGGCACATGGCATATTCTTAATAAATACATGAGGGACTCATAAAACCTTTTTTCTAATAACCTTTTAAAAAAAAAAACTTTAGCCCTGACACAGTGGCTCATACTTGTAAGCCCAGCACTTTTCGAGTCTGAGGTAGGAGGATCGCTTGAGCCTAGTTCAAAACCAGCCTGGGCAACATAGAAAGAACCTGCCTCTACAAAAAAATCAAAAAAATTAGCCAGGCGCACACCTGTAGTCCCAGCTGCTTGGGAGGCTGAGGTGGAAGGATTGCTGGAGCCCAGAAGTTTGAGGCTATGATGAGCTGTGATCATCCCACTGCACTCCAGCCTGCATGACAGAGTGAGATCCTCAACTCAAAAAAAAAATAAATGTTAAAAGGTACTCCTGGGAGTGTTGGGTGAAAAAAAAAGCTACTCTTTCTGTGTATTATTAGTATCAATGTTTCAAGCATAAAAATTTAGTGTCATAGCTTATTCAGTGCTTTATAAAACATATTTATTGAAAATGTTCACTGGGGTCAGGCACTGTACAAATGAGAATATAAAAATGAAACATATGGGTCCTGCTCTCAATGAGCTTACAGTCTACAAAGTGAGAAAGTCAATACAAAATTTTAACAGTATGGTAAGGGCTATGGATGTTACCATTAAAAAGCACAAGGGATCTAGAATCAACTTTATTAAATTAGGGCTGTGAGTGAATTAAAGGACATAACCTGAAAAACCTCTGAACGCTACTTTCCTTTTTTTTTTTGAGTCAGAGTCTCACTTTGTTGCCCAGGCAAGAGTGCAGTGGCACGCTCACAGCCACCGCAGCCTTGACTTACTGGGCTTAGGCGATCCTTTCACCTCAGCCTTCCAAGTAGCTGGAACTACAGATGTACGCCACCACACCTGGCTAATTTTTTGTGATTTATTGTAGGGACAAAGTCTCACCAAGTTGCCCAGGCTGGTCTCAAACCTCTGGGCTCAGGCAATCCTCTTGCCTCAGCCTCCTAAAATGCTGGGATTACAGGCTGAGCCATCGCACCTGGCTGAATGTTAATTTCACATCCTTTTCTTTCAAATGCCTTCATGAGTGTTTTCGCCAAGTTAGGATTTTATGATATGTATGCATTTCGTGATACCTTTTTAAAGTAAAACTGTTGTTCACACACACATAAGCACAAGGAATCATGGGAGCACAAAGGAGAAGCACCTGGCAGGATATTCGGACATAGGGGAAAGGCTCATGAAAACTAAGGACATATGAGGCTTATCCCGGTAAGGTCGGGAGTAGGGGATAGAGAACACAGCACAGCACACACAAATGAGGTGCAAAGGCCCCATTCACACAGCATGATTTGCAAGCTGTTTACCGGGGCTGGAATACAGACGCTGTGTCCATGTATGCGTGAAAAAGACACTGTAAAGGTAAGAAGCTTCACTAGGGACGGCCCTGTACGCCATGCTAAACAGTTATTTATCTTGAGTGCTTCAAAAAGAAAAAAAAATGAGAAATTTTAAGCAAGGGAGTGATGAAGTCAAATTTTAGAAATACAATACTGGTGACGCAATAGTAAGTGTTTTGAAGAAGAGCATAGCTGAAGGCTATCTGGTCATTAGCCCCAAAACAGTGAACTTTTACCATTTTCTGTGTGCAACAAGATGACTTAAAAAGTAACAAAAGTGTGTGATACAAAACCTACAAAGGATAAAGTATGTGATTAAGACATTTTTTCGACAACATCGACTTAAGGAAAAGACCCAGGAGAGTGACAACAGCTTGGGCACGGAAATGGAGTCCCCTTCTCGTATGCAGCCTGTCAACGACTACTCCATGAATCTTTTTGACAAATCCATTTCAAGAGGCACAGGTCACCAACTCCTTATCTTTAGATAAAACCCAGAGAACACTAAACACGTGATTCCTGGAGGCATCACATGACTCATTTCTCCAACAAGCTTTAGAGAAAACAGCACATCCCAATAACGACAGCGTCTCCGGGGATGTTCCACCAGTGTCTACAGGCAGAGAAACAAGGTGGCACCAGCGAGCTCTACCCCCATCTGGACTTTGGGCAGTCCCTGCCCTTGCAGGTGGCAGAGCGGGGGGTCTGCCTAAAACCCCAGAATCGCCTTCTCCTTCCCGCGGTTGTTATGGTCACTGCTCTAGCGCCCATCCCAGCAGACGCCGCGGGCTCGCTTTCAGATCTCTGGGTGCCGGTGGAATCGCTGACGCCGGCAGAGACGTCTCCTTCTACACCAAGGAGATCATGGCGGGGGGACCCCACGCCCGCCAGGAGCGGAAATCTCGGCCTGCGCGGGGCCGGGATGCTCAGCCCCAGAAGACCTGGGCCGGCGACCGGGGGTCAGGACTCCGACAGAGCCTTTCGCGCAAGAGACTCCTCTCCCGCGGCCCTGGCCGCAACTCCGACGAGCCCTCCTCGGGGAGGCTGAGGGATTTCAAGGCCGCGTCGGGACCAAAGAAGACCAGAGGACTCGCCCACAGCCGCGACCCGCGACCCCGGCTGGCCAACTCACCATGGTAAGGAGCCGCACAGCTCCCGCCGGAAGACGCTCTGCGGGCTTTTTTTTCCCAGAGCGGAAGGGGTGGGCGCCACACGCCGATTGGCTGCGAGGGACGCGAGAGCGGAAGTGCGTGCCCGGCCTCGGGTCCCGCCCCCTTCCCGACGGCCCCCGCGGTGAGTAGAGGGCCAGGCGGCGGCTGGAGCGGCGTCTTGGGGTCCTCCGGGCTCGGCGGCTCTTGAGGCGCCGAGGTCGGCGGCAAGCGGCCACTGGGGTTTAGTGGGCATGTCGAGGGATTTCGGCGAGGGCTGAAGCGCTTTGCCTGCGCTGTGCGATCTAAGCTTGCGAGATGGCTGGTAGGCCCGTATTACAAGCGAGGAAAGAGGAAGGTGAAGAAACTTGCCTTGCCCAGCACTTCGGGAGGCGGAGACGAGAGGACGGCCTGAGCTCAGGAGTTCGAGACCATCCTAAGCCACAAAGCGCATGCCTGTGATTCCGGCTACTTGGAAGGCTGAAGCGGAAGGATCGCCCGAGCCCAGCAGGTCGAGGCTGCAGTGGCCATGAACATGCCATTGCACTCCAGCCTGGACGACAGTGAGACTCAGACTCAAAAAAAGAAAGCATGCTGCGTTCAAGAACCCATCTCAAAGTTTACGTATGTGTAATTCCATTCATGAAAAGATAATGTCGGGAGCGGTGACTCACACCTGTTATGCCAGCACTTTGGGAGGCAAAGGTGAGAGGATTGTCTGAGCCCACGGGTTAGAGACCAGCCTAGGCAGCTTGGCGAGAACTCGTCTTTACAATAAATCAAAAAATTAGCAGGGTGTGGTGGTGCACGCCTGTAGTTCCAGCTACTTAGAAGGCTGAGGCAGAAAGATCGCTGGAGCCCAGCAGGTGGAGACTGTGGTGGCCATGAGCGTGCCACTGCACTCCAGCCTGTGCAACAGAGTGAGACTCCGACTCAAAAAAAAAGAAAAGAAACGAACCTTGCCTCGAGTCGCAGAATTTAACCTCGAACCGACGAGGACGGTGGTCCTCCTAAAATGCTGTTTGTCTGTTACAGAAGTAATGTTAATTATGGAAAACTTGGAAAATGAAGACAGCAGTAACATAAAATACATATTCGATGAAGACGGAGTACATAGCACGTGTGTATATCAGGCACTGGTCGGGTGGAAATTATATTCTAGTAAGAGGAGATGGAAAACAAGCAGGGAGAAAGACAGTTTGAACAGATATTCTTAAGTAGCCTTATGTTGAAAATAGGGTCCAGCCAGGTGTAGTGGTTCACACCTGTCATCCCAGCACTTTTGGAGGCGGAGGCGGGAGGATTGCTTAAGGATTGGAGACCAGCCTGGACAACCCTCCCCCAAAGAAAAAGAAAAGGAAGCCGGGCTCGGTGGCTCAGCCTGTAATCCCGCGCCTTTGGGAGGCTGAGGTGAGTGGATTG